GCGTGACGAGGTATAGCCTTAAAACAACCCAAAAATATTACTATTGAGCACAAAATAACTGATTCCTATATACCCTTGTTTGGCTAAAAATCTGCCAACCCATTTGTCGATCTTCTTTCCCATTGAACACCGACTGTTATATATCTATACAGTGCACTATCTACTTACATCTGCAAAGAAATCCCAAACCCATAATTGCTAAAAATCAAATTTATTTGTTACCCAATAGAGTAATAGTTTATAAACAAGCAAAGAAAAAATAAGGCTGCATTTGAAAACGATGCAAATGGAGTGTAAATCCTAATTCAGGGTAAATTTGCACTCTGGTTCACTTTTCCCTGTGTTTGGCAACACTACATTTTTGGATTGACAAATGACAGACCAACGCATATTTACATTGATAATAAGATGTAAAGGTACACCAATAAAAAAGAAGTAAATTTTCATTCAAGTGGGCTTTTGATAAAAAAAAAAGCATATGCTTTATTAGAATTCGTGTTTGCATCCATTATAGCTAAAAGTCTGTTTGGTAAGAAGGTAAATTTGTCATTGCAACAAGGTTTTAAAAACCGACCCGGAAACAGAATCGTTCTAACTATCGAGTTCTGGGTCAGCAGTTCAACTATCTGGGTCGAACAGTTCGGATGGTTTGCATATTAGGGCAAATTTATATGAGATTTCAGATTTGAGGAAGGAGAAAGAAAAAAGATATGTCAACTGAGAAAGCCAAAGGCTGAGAAAGAAAAAAAAGAAAGAAGAAGAAAGAAGGAGAGAAGGAGGGAAGAAGAAGGAAGAGGAGGAAGAGGATAGCGACGACGAGGCGGTGGCAACAAATGCATATCTGAGACCTGAGTTCTTGGATCTCAGATCTGAAATCTGAGTTGTCGGATCTTAGAACTAAGATCGATTTCTCTAAAACACATATAGTCTTCTTCTTCTTCTTATTCTTCTCCTCTTTGTGCTAGATCCCAGATCTGAGTTCGTGTCTGACTGGATCTTAGATCTGAGTTCTCCTCTCTGCAACTTTATATTGTGAACCGCTGGCCAAGTCAAACGAGTTGACGGTTTGACTGTTCGAGTCGGCGGTTTTCTGATGAAGTCAATGGTTTTTGACGCAAAAATGGGTTAGGGGTGAAACGGAACTGGTTGCTTGGACAGTTTTCAAGCCAAACGGTCCAACCGTCCGGATCAACGATGGTTCAAAAACATTGCAATGCAAAACTAACCCAATTTTTCAATTTATATGAACAGCTTTACACTCTACGTATTTGCATTCACGTATATTTGCATCATTTCCAAACACACCCAAAAGGTAGCCCAAGAAGGGATTGCCAAGACACATGTGCCCCCATTGCACAAGCCCAAGAGAAATACTAACTCCATATACTAACATATTATAGCTTTGAAAATATATTGAGTTTTCCCTGCAATTTGGGATCAAAAGTTTCTCTCTTCTTAAACAAGAGAGACGAAACAGAGGCAAAGAGGTAAATCCACAAGAAAAGATTAAAAGATTTTAACAAAGAGTGGTACTCTGTATTAGATAAAGAAAAAGTCAAACAAATAAATTTATTAAATATTTGAATTTAATGCAACTTAATAAAACACTTACATTTCTTAACAGAAACAATATATGCATTTATTGGAAATAAAATCTGATATCTCATAATCAATAAGCTTGAATATTTTAAATCTTAATCCTATGATAAGAAAGGGATGTCTGCACACTTACCCATTGTTTTGTTGTTGGGTTGCTTGTAGGTTGAAATGGCCTCCTCCTCCTCCAAATTTCCATTCTTCTAATTATTCTTTATCTGGTTTTCTGTACTCATTGACTGAGGTATACAGGTTAGTAGCAAAGAAAATATTAGAAATAATTATTATCAGGAATTAAGAGGATGATTCTAAACTTGTATTGTTGTCAATGTAGGATCTCATACTGCGGAGTCGTCTGAACCACTCACCAAAGTAAATTGTCAATCCATAAGAAAATGCGAAGGTCCTGGGCTGTGTAAATTTGCATGTGAGAGGGCGGGTTTCAGTGGCTATATATGTAGGCCACTAAGGCCATATTTGGTGGGTAATACTGAGTGTTGTTGTACCAACGGAGATTGAAGTTGAGATTGCTGTGTTGAGGTCATAGGTTCTCCAATTCTACATCATCTTAATAATAAAAAGGAGATTTCCTCCAATCTTGTTCTTCTTCTGAACCTTTATTGGTCAAACCTGAATAAAATCAAATGCATGGTTCAACTAATGAAATAGTGAGTTTTGGGTCTTGGTCTTTTAGACCCTATTTGGCAACGTTCCACAAGAACGTTTCGTGCATTCCCGGTGTTCTGTATAAATGCATTTGATACAAGAAAAAAAAAAAAAGGTGTTTCCGTGTGAGAAGAGTACCCAAAGAACGTGCGGTTCCCACGACATTAACCCCTATTAATGAACACGTATTAATGATTCCCACATGAGAAAAGGGGTATTTTGGGTATTTCACATTAAATGATGGAAATAATCCTTACGAAACATTTTCATTCGATAGTGAACTCCTCCAACTTGTCGTTGGAAATCTCAAAGTAAGGAGGGACTCCCTTGGCTCCAACCAGACGGCGAGCAAATGGTAAAAAGTACCGATGACATTTCCGGCTAGGAACGCGTCAATAGGTATGTTGCCTCGTCACCGTACCTGGTTTTGTATTATGTGCTCTGCTTTAAACTCACATTTTCTTTGATCAGATTCACCTGAATTTGCTTTTGCTCCCACCGCAAAGATGGGTTTTCAACAATCTCTAACCGATATGATCTGAAATCGTTTTTCTTATATTATTTTGTTTGCATTTGTTATATGTTATGCCAAATGGGAGTGGTTTTTTCTCTAATCCTATCGATGGTTATATGTTATGCCGAATGAGTGGAGTTTCTTCTCTAATCCCATCGTTTTGTTTTGTTATGTCTTTTGTTATATGTTGAATATCATGAAGATTGTCCTTTGTTATATGTTATGAACCTTTGCAAAATTGATGTTAAAAAATAGTTTCATTATCCAAACGCTATTTCTGTTCCTGTAGAACAAAAAATCATTCTTGAAGAACAATTTGTCAAACATATCGATTACTCCTGAAATGCAAGAAATAAAATTCTTGTTCTAGAATAGGAATTTCTAAAAGAATAGAAATAGGTGGAAACATTGCCAAACAGGGCCTTAATGATTTTCATGGGTTGATGATTTCTTGCCCATTAAACCTGGCAACCTAATAAACTCTACCTCTTAGCTAGGTCTTACGACAATGGTTTTACAATTTAGTGGAATAAAAATGAGAGAAAAACAAGGCTAATTTCCTAGTAGGGCAGGTAGATGATCCATTGATGCGAGCTCGGGTTTGCTACCCACAAGACACTACAGCTACACATATGTTGTCTTTGATGGGTCGTATGTGAGGTGTGCAGCTATAGAGTGTTCATTGAACTATAGGGGATGCCCATCATTTGCTTCCTGTCCCATGTTTGAAGGAATTACGCAAGAGCATTCGGTTGGTGGCTTAGTGCTAATGTTTTAACAATAGGAAGTGTTCTTTTAAACATTTAAAGTCTCTTTGAAATTTAGGTAATGATGGATAATTAGCGGTGTTTGGCATCGATGTCTTTACTCCAGAAAACAGTGGCACATCAACGCCATATTGGAAAAATCAGTGCTCCAGAAAACGGTAACATGTTTGGAACCATTTTTCTATAAAAAATAGTGCCCCAAACCATGCCTTGAAAATCGAGGTGTGATCTAGGGAAGAGCCAAATTTAATGTTTTCTCAATTTGGATAATAGATACCCGTGCTGAAAACAAATATGAAGCACAAGTACCAAATAGAAAGTGTTGTTGCCCAAGGAAACATCATACCTAGCAGCAATGTTTCTAAACAAAAAAAAAAAAAAGACACTGTTTTCTCAAAATATGGTATTGTATATACAGCATCGATGCCAAACACATACTTAAGGGATCATGCACCAATAAGTGCTACTTTGTTTCTTAAAACAAAAGCAAGTGCCACCCCAATCAAAGAGGGTCATGATTCTCAAAAGAGAAATCCGAGGCTGAAATTTTCAATGCAACACGCCCTGTATCGAGAATATCATATCATATGATGGCCTCACCAAATTTCAGAAACTTGTGTTTTCAATTGTTTAATAACCATTAAAACGAAACAAGGTTTGGCTGAACATGATGGTTGTTTAGCAGGCTGTGAAACCAATGATAAGGTTCCACACTAGTAATAAAATACACGAGACCCCCACACTTTTGAGTGGGGCCTATGAATTTATTATTGATGTGCAACCTCATCATTGGTTCTACAGCCAGCTCAACAGCCATCGTGTTCAGCTAATCCAAATTCCGTTAAAACCGACCCCCTGTGAAAATCTCAAGGTAAAAAATAGAAAAAAAAAAGGTGTCTTAATAGTATCAAAACACCCCATGCATGTTTGTGCATATCTAAGTGTATCAGTATCGATACTTTGAACCTTGGAGGAATCAAAAAACAGTCTCATGTTCAATTACATTTCTTCTATTGTTACCATATAAATGTCTGTTTTATCACCGCTATCCTTTAAAAATCTTGAAAAATGTAATTAATACCTTTTTATTAATTTATTAAATTGAACTTAGTTTGTTACACCACAATGCCACATGCACCAAAACTATTGATAATTTTTCAGCCAATTATATATTTTCAACTTTCAACTTAAATGATTTCAATTTTGTCCATTACAGAGATACCTATGAGAGTTGTGTTCTAGACTTCATTTTTTAAGGACTTATCTCCTTTTTGGAGTTAAAAAAGCTCTGTTCATAGGGACATTTTTTATCAGCAGTGTTCGTTCATAGGGGAATTTTAGCTGTGAAAAGGAGATAAGTCCGAAATGCCAATTGTAGCCTAAGAAAACTACATATTGACCCATCCAAATCTACGAATGACACATCTATGCAAAATAATCAGGAGGTTGGATGCAGATCAAATGAATGAGTTGATGAAAGACTTTTGCTGAAAACTATTTTAAGTGATGCTACAAATTACAAATTATCACAAGCACTTACTATACAGTGTACCTGATATCAAATTTGGCATGATTTGGTATCACAATCCCCACCAGGTAAGTGCCAGAAAATGCATCTTAAGTTGCATGAAGACACTGCTTCCTCTAAGCCTCCGGATGTCCCTGATCACCAGTTCTTAAAGGAATTTGTGTATGTTGACTTCATCCTATCCATTCATTGGTACCAACCACGGTCCATTTGGATGGTTGTCATCTTTATGACATTGGCTCAATGATAAGGCATCCACAAATAGAATATTAGAGCCCCATCTTCCATTCATGGTTGCAATAACTTCAGTTCCAGGACAATAATCTGCATGCTTATGCAGGAAGGGCAACCAAACCCCAGAAATCTGCCATCAGTAAAGGAAATTTAGTTACAAGTTGTTCTGGATATTTCCAGGACCCCTTATTTGGTCAGTGTGAGTGCTATCCTATGTCCTAACAGAAGAGGAATTTGAATTCCCAATTTTTCTTCCTTGAAGTCTAAGGTTGTTGCGGACAAACAAGAGATCTGCAGCTATATCTGCCTCCAAACTATTAGCTGCTTCTCGACAAAAACTATTTTCATACCAGCTCACTTGAAATGTTGAAATACTTGAAATCTGACTCAGAATCTTAATTGCCAATGTCTGCAATTGAGGTGTTTCAGAGCCAAAATTCTCCCACCATGCAACTGCATCCATCTTATCTCTACAATCTAAAGCATCTTCCTCCCCCAAGGAGCCCTCAAGCCGCCAGTAAGAGCTAATCTGCTCTCTAAGAACCCGTCTGTCTGTCCCATCACACTCATATCTTTCAAGAGTGGCCTTCCAACCCCGCATTATAGATTTATCCTTGCACTGGCCTTTCCCAAAGTATCTTGGGTTCAGTATGTAACCAGTGGCATGGAGAGGGGAAAACAATGTTTCCCACCTGTTTTCTATCAGCACTTCTAGCTGCTTCAGAATTATTTCATCAATTCCTTTACTTCTCACTGCTTCAAGTGCCTGAACACGCCAATTATATACATCACCTATAATACATTCATCTATATTCAGTAAACCAAGCAATCTTACAAAAGGCTCAAACAACTGCAACACCATATGAGCCCCACTCCAGAATTCATTGCCCAAAATGGCAGCTTCAATGCTTAGAAAATCTTCTGGAAAGGTGAGTTTCCATTGTCTCCATTCCTCACTGAGGGCCAATTCTTGTAAAGCTTGCTTAAGCTCAACAATCCTCTGGACCAAACGGTAGGAGGGGGAAAGCTTGACAGAAGTAGGACCAAAGCTCTCTTTCAAATTTTGACTGAAAACAGACAAAGAAGAATGTTGAGTTAGTACATATTGCTCAATACCTTTGGCACACAAGACAATCGGCTTCACCCAATCAAGTTCAGCTATATCCTCCATCAACATATGGATGGAGTATGATGTACAGGGTGACCAAAATATTTGTGGGAACTTGGACTGAATAAGAGATTCAGAGGATTTGGATGAATGCCTGGGATGCATTATTATCTGAACCACATTTCTAGGCCCCACTTCCATGATTACATTATTAAGAACCCCAGCCAAGACATTGTCTGCTTTGTTACCTTCATTTATCTCCAGAGTTTGCAAGAATATGAATCCCCTTGGACTAGACACAAAAACATTGCTACTGAAGGAGCCAAGTGCACAATCTAATCGATTAAGACAAAGTATTGTGCAGCCTGTGTAAAGCCATGATTCCCTGATAGGACCCATAGCTTTGTCTATTCTTGTTTTTTCTTTATGCAAGAAAGAACTTGACAATTTCTCCACTGGTGGAGGTTCATATCCAGGACCGAAGGCTGCAATTGCTTTGGCCATGTCATGGAAATAAGGGGAATTGAGAATATTGAAATTCAATCCATTTGCATAAAAAAATCTGGCTACTGAATCATCTATGTCTTCTCTAGGAGATGCTTTCCAGACAGAAGAAAGACTTGGTTGTGAGTTCCGAATGCGCTTGCTCGACTTTCCACTTCCAGAAATTCTTTTCTTTTTGCGGGCAAGGCGCTCTTCTTCAAGGATCTGAAGTGCATCCCTCAAAGACCTATCTATTGCAGGGCAGCTTTTGACCCCGACACCAGTGGAACCAAGAAGGTGGGCCCTCACACGGGAATAAGATCCATTATATCGTAGGCTACAGTAGTTACATTTCCATCTCTTGGTACCACTTCCTTTGTCAAACCCACCAAATACACTTACATGTTTCCATCCCCACTTATCAGATTCTGATGGCATACTTTCAGGCTCAAACAATCTGTTTGGCACACAAAGCTACACAAAATGAGTGCATGTAAAAGAGAACAACACTAACATGTTATGCTTTGACATTATCAAGAAAAATTGTAATTTCTTAATGACATGTTTCAGTACTAACACTTATATTTGTTAAAGAAATATAATGAGCTTTTCTCCCCCCTCTTTATAGGCAAGAAGAATGAATAATTGGTTAGGAAATTAAGATGGCTATGGAACCAAGTAACTGGGATCAAAGACATGCATTGATAAGCTGATCTCTTCCATATATGGAACTCATTGTAAATTGAGAGTGCATAATAGCAATGATGCTGTATTACTGAGAACCAAATAAGGTCCATATACATATCTTAGGGTGAGGTGACACCATCTAACCAAGCGTACCTAAAATAAAGTCAACTGGCACCATGGCATGTGTGTGACAGTCACCAAATAATGATTAGATTGTAAAGTTATTATCTTTCAACCAAGTTTGCTTTTCACCATGAACATATCTTGAATAAGACCTACAAGGTCAGAACCCTTCTACATTCCCATATTAGAAATAGCTTGGAAGATGGGAACTCCCAAGAATACTCCAGATTTTCTCAAATATAAGAAATTAGAGAACAAACTAAAAGTAAAAGATTTAAGGATGAATGAAAGAAAAGGATGAGAAAAATGTAATGGACTTGGCCTATCAAAGAAACAATATGAAAGGAAATAAGTTCAATACAATTTTTCAATGCTATATAAAGCAAACTGAAACCCTTCATTCCTCCACTAATAGATTATATCAATGTATCAGAATCACCTTGGGTCCAAATGGAACTCAGACGTTATATATTATTAGTAGAATAAACCAAAAAATTAACCTGAATATTATATTATTATATATTATGAAATAGAAATATCTTTGATATTATACATCATTAATAAGATGAGTTAAAAATAAAAAATAAATCCTACTCAATGCTGCACAAGAATTAAAAAAAGATATGTTTATTTGATACTTGAGATCCATATCCAGATTAGTTAAATTCGATTTCAGACTTGACCCAATGTTTTAAAAGCGCAAGGCACAAGGGGCAACTGGCGCCCGAGGCATGTGCCTTTGTGAAGCAAGGCACAAAAATACAAAAAAATAAAAATAAAAAGCTAAAAAATAAAAAATTCAGAAATTTAAAAAATGCAAAAGTAAAAAATATTAAACATAATATTAATAAAAAAATATAAACTTAAATTTTAAAATAAATGTTTTAAAAAACCTATTATCTAAAATTAAAATACATAAACATAACATGTAAAGTGTATTCAAATGAAAATTTAAAAATAAAATCAAACATATAAAACATTTTCAAGCATGTAAAACCCACAATCTCTTTTTTTCCTCAATTGCATTACTTCAAGTAGCTAATGTGATTTAAAACATATTAAATACCTAATTCTACGAACCGTCTTTGTGCCATGCCCCCCAAGGCAAGTCCAACAAGTCCATGTTATGGTATTAAATTCTTAATTCCCACACAAAAATAATGATTTTATAATTTTAATTGGCTTTTAAGAAGATAGTTTATTAGGATGAATGAATGAACAATATTAGCAAATAGGGGGTTCTTGGAGCTTTGGTGAGAGAGCGAACAACATTAAGAATTTAAGACCATAACATGGAATTGTTTGGGCTTGCCTCGAGGGGCGTGGTACGGGGGTTCAGGGGCAGAGCCCCCAACCCATCCGCTAGGTTCAAAGAAAGCAAAAAAGCGTAAAATTTTAAAAAAGTGCATGCCTAGGATGAGCCGCAAGGCGCACCAGGCACACACCCTGGTGCGCCTTTTGAAAGGGCTGCACCTAGCACCTAGGCGAGGCGCATACCCTAAAAATGCGCCTCGACTGTACGCCTAGGCACACCTTTTAAATGAATACAATTGACAGACCTAGAGCATAGACCTATCCATAGGAAGAAAAAAAAGAATAAATTAAGAAAAAAGAGGGGTACTATTGATAAGAAAATGAACATGTACTCACAAATTTATTGATGATTGACAGAACAAAAAATATATCCTATTTGGATGAAACCAGAAATAGGAATTTAATGGGATTAAATGTTGGGAGTCATGTGAAGTCAAAAAGTAAAAGGCAACTCCATACAATCAGTTTCATAAAAGGACTTGAGGTGTAGGCCTCAGGGAGAGGCAAAGACAAATCACACTGCCTCAATTACCTCATCTAATTTCCTGAAGGCCTAGGCTTCAAAATACAAGAAATGTACACCAATAGCCTTCAGGTGCAATTTTGTAGAGGCATATGTCTCAGTTTTTAACCTACAAAACAAATAAAAGCCATAAGGACAGGTGCAAAAACAGGGAATTGATACAACAGTAGGATTTCAGGCCGATTAAGCATAATAACACAGGTTTAAGTTTGAGAGTGACCATATCATGCCAAAAAAAAATGTCAGAGGTTAGTTTTTGTACCCAGTTCACAGCTCCCAAGGTCATAAATAGCCAGGACTGGCATTGGGTAATGGCCTAATATTAGATCAGGTCCAGAACATAACTGAAGTTGTAAGAAAACGGCAATGGGGCAAAAGTAGAATGATACACATTTGAGATTTAACCCTACGGTTTAGACATTTTGCTCAAGAGAGTAGGTAGTAGAGTCTGTCAGCCAAAGAAGTTTGGTGGTCTAGGCATTCAGTATTGAAGATTGTGAAGTGTGAACCAAGCCCTTTTATCCAAACAGATTAAGCGTTTTGACACTGAGAAAGAAATGGAGTGGCAAAGAGTGATTTGCTGTGAATATGGGAAAGCAAGCCTTGACTGGGAAACAAACCAAATTAATAGCCCTTATGGTACAGGGATGTGGAAAGGAATCATGCAGAACAGAGATATGTTTTTCACGTTTATATCTTTTAAACCAGGTAATGGCAAGGATATTTATTTCTGGAGAGGCTTATAGTGTGGTGAGTCCCCACTAAGCATCTTTGGCTCAAAGATAAGTTTGCCAAAGTTAAAGATTGTTATGAGTTGTTGGCATTCATATTGTTTGGAATTGAGGAGTTGACAGTCCAACCATTGTCAAATGACAGGTTATAGTGGTAAGTGTTAAGTCTAATGACTTTTTTTTTATCAGTGAATTGTAAGATTTACTGATAAAAAAAAAATGCAGAGATTTAAGTCACAAGGCGTTTCACTACCTGGAGGCATGAGGCATAATTCAGAATGAAGAGGAGGTGTAAGCCTCAAGGGAGGAAGAGGAGGGAGAAGTAGAAAAAGAGGAAGGAGGATCTCATCTTGTTTTTCTTGTTTTTTTTCTTATAAAAGATTTTTTGTTTCACTAGCTGAAAGGGGGGAGTCCTTTTTTCCTTTCCTTTTCTTTTCTTTCTTTTCTCTTTTTCTTCTCTTCTCTTTCTTTCTTTCCTTTTATCTCCCTTCCCTTTCTTTTCCTTTCCTTTGTTTTCTTTCTTTTTGTATGAGGTATATGCTTCAAGGCATTTTAGGGGCACCTCACCTGGAAGCACACCTCCATGCATACACCGCCCACACCTTTTGAAACAGTCTGTTCATTCACCTTTTGTAATTTGGCTTTTATTATTAAAAGATTACTTTACCTTACTCTCAAAAAAAAAAAATCACTAGTTTTGAAGCTGGCTTCATCAGAGAGTGGAAAGGTTCCATGCAGCAGGATTTGGAGTCAAAAGGCCCCACCTAAGGTCATTTTCTTTTAGTGGACAGCAATTAAGACAGAACATTGACAATTGACAACCTGAGATCAAAAGGGATGATCATTACTGATTATTTCTGTCTATGTGGAGCTGCTGAGGAGACTACTCAACATCTGTTTTGCAACTTCACTTATCAAGTTTGGTGTCACGTGCTGGGTTTGTTTGGCTGTCAATGGGTCACCCGCCAGATATTCTCATTTTGATCTCTTCCTGGTGCCTAAATATGTTCAGTAAACGTGGCAGAATCCTATGGCACATGGCCCCTCTTGCTCTTTTGCTGATGTGTCTGGAGAGAGCATGATGGCAAATCTTTTCAAAACCAATCTGCTTCTGTTGAAGAGGTTTGCAGAAGTTTTGAGAGGCTTTTGTCTAAATGCGTCTCCATCATTGGGTGCTTCTCGGGTTTCAGACTAAGTCATTTCTGTAACCATTGGGGAAGGATTATCTGGGATGACAGCTTTGCTTTGTAACTGTTAATTTCCCCAGGATTTTTTTTTCTTTATATCTTTGGTGGGGGAGGGAATCTCTCCCTCCCCCTCCCATTATTTGCTATCTTAATATAATCTCATCTTTTTTCTTAAAAAAAAAAAAAAAAAAAAAAAACTATTTATGTACCAACATGGTGAATTATTTTATAAAGAATCATTTGAATCGCTTTATTTATTTATTTTTTTTATCAGCATCATTTGAATCTCTTTGTCATATATCAATTATCAAAAAAGCAATAATATGCCAACTTTACAAGAAGTTGTGCATGGTCAATGAGTTAGAAGCGTGATTTCCATATATAGTATGCATGTTAACTGTCAAAAAAAGGTTTAGGAAATATTTTCCCATTGGGTCCTGAGACCCTCAAAACCCTTTAGGATCAAAACCCAGCCACCAGCAGCCTTTCGATCTTCCCTTTAATGTGATCAACCCTGCTCAAAAAAAAAATGAAGCAGTTTTATGACGTTCTATAATGGTTTTCAGTTGGTTTAGTGCAGGAAAATTGTAGAGAAAGTATTTTCTGTCTGTGAATGATGTAGAAGTGTTATATATTAAATGCAATACCCCACCAATAGATGTTGGTTTATGTAACATTTTTTTTGTTAGAGAATTATTTTTGCATATGTAGATTTTAGAAGAATAATCTTGGCAGATTCAAAACTATTACTGATAGTCATCCAATTACTAGTCTACCAGAATGAGTTCAGGATTATATAGGAATTTTAATTAAATATATTTTTCATGCCTTTATTGTTTAAAAACCGTATGTATAATTTTTCATTTTTTTTAGGCTTATGCTTAAAAAGGCCTTAAAGCCAGAGTTTTCAAGGTGCCAAGGCGCGGCTAGGCAACAGGGGAGCGCATTGTCGCCTAGTCACCTAGCCAATGGATTTTTTAAGTGAAAAATATGGGGGTTGAACCCCTATTTTGTTATAGGAAAAGAAGAAGAAGAAAATACAACATTTAGCAATGTTTGTGTTGATTAAACCCTGACAAATAAGAAAATAATAAAAGAAAATATATGAAAAGATTTAAGTGGTTGGTCAGGGATATGACAATTTCAGTCCAATGGGAAAGGAGGTCGGCTAACGGGATGGCTGATTTCTTTGCAAAACAGGGGGTGAATAATTCTGAATTATTCTGGGCTCAGTTGTAATCTGTTTATATAGCTGGGGCTGCATCTCGTGCCTCTGCTGGTTGTACTCTGTAATCTTGTGATACTTGATTATGCTCTAATAAAGTTTATATCATTTATCAAAAAAACACAAAATGAATATTTAAGTTTAAAAAAATTTATTTTATAATCATAATCTCAAAAAATTAAGAATAGAAAAGTATTTTATAACACAAAGTACAAAACTGCTCAGTGATCAGGCAAGGTGAGCCTCCAAGGGCGCCTTGTCATCTAGGTGCCTGCCTAGGCATCGCCTTGACAACTATGCTTAAGGCCTAAACCTAGACTCTCCAATGCTAACCACTTCACCTCCACCTTTAGCTGACCTGGATCATAACTCATAATGATGAAATGTAGGGCACCACCTAATAGTTATGTGGTTCTTGATGTCTGACAAATGTTTATATGTTTGAGTTTGTGCATATTATAAGCCAGAAAAGTTTTTCTTTTCTCTTTATAATGTTTTAGTTAATATTTTTCTCTAATTGAAGGTCTGACTCTGAGTCTGACCTTAGCCAATCTACTTAGGACCTCACAAAAACAGTAGGATTTCATCTATGCAAGCTAACAACCTCTTTATTTAGAGAGGCATTTGTAATGTATGACACAAGCTCTTGCTTAAACCACTTTTGCCCGCACTCTTTGAGATTGTTTATTCTTCGCAAGTAGATCTTAATCATCTTAAAGATAAATTGAAGACCTGGCCTAAGACAATCTACTTGGGACCATACAGAAGCAGTTGAGTTCCATTTCTGCAAGCTACCAATTTCTTTATGCAAAGGGGTTTGTGAGGAAGTATAAAGCATACTCTTGCTTAAAGCACTTTTATCCACACTCCTTGAGATTGTTCAACATTTGTTTATGCTCTACAAGTAGTTCTTAATGATGTGCAAGATAATATGCTCTCTTAGTTCCAAACTTCCAATGTCCAAAGTGAGATTAAACTTTTTTCCCCATTCTCTTGTAGGTATATCTGCATTCACAATCATGTCTAAAATATTAAAATATCAAAAGATTGATAACAACACCATGTTCACGCTTGGCCTCCAACCTCACAATTGGTGGCAACAAGCTTCTAAAGGCCACTCAATACCCCCAACACCCATAGTTTCAAAATAATGTTATACAATAATCTTCAACAGCTCAAGCAAAGGGGCTATTACCCAATGTCAGTCCTAACTATCTGTGATGATGGGTGTTGTGTGGGTAATCCTGGTCCCCTCCAACAGAGGGTTGGATGAAGCTGAATTTCGATGGGAATTGTGTGGGTAATCCAGGTCCTTCAGGTATTGGGGGGGCCATTAGAAATGAAAATGGCTCCATTATTGCTTTGTTCTCCAGGCCTGTGGAGGAGGGTGATGTAGCTAGGGCAGAGTTTCTAGCTGCAGTATATGGGGTTGAGAAGGCCAAAGAGCTGGGGGATTAGTAGACTAATCATCGAGGGAGACTCAAAAACTGTGATAAAATGGTTGCAAAAAGGGGAAGGAGTGACCTGGCAGCTGAAGAATGATTTCAAAAGGTTCAAATGGATGTCTAGAAATATGTCTATTCAGGTGGGTTGGGTTAGGAGATCGGCCAACAGCTTGGCTGATAGCTTAGCAAAGGAAGGGGTTCAAAGAACAGAGATGAACAGAGATGTTTTGGGCACTTTTGTAATTCTGTCTTGGGTCAGCTTCTATGCTGATTTCTTTGTAACTTCTTGTTGTATATTAAAGCTTCTTAATTAATGAAAATTTTCAGTTATTGATCAAAAAAAAAAAACTATCTGTGATGATGGGTGGACTGCATATGAACCTAATCTTTAGTATTTTTTTCACAAAATGGCCACTCTCAACTTGAGCCCACTCTCATGCTCATCAGCCTGAAGTTTTACCGCTCCTCCAAAATGCTCAAACCATGAATTTCAAATTTGTAGTCATTCTCCTGTCAGCATTACCAAATATCCTCTTTTTCTCCTTAACAAGGTTTCTCCAATAGTGGTTTATAGTATACACTCTGAATGCTGTTGTGTTGCACCTTGAATTACTGGTTACAGCCCGCTCCATGACCCAACCTGCATTGTGGAGAAAAACCTAGAGGGGAAATTCACTGAGGTCTGTAGTGGATGTAGAGGGCTTGGGCCATCAACCCCCACAGTACGTTCACCAACCCATTCTCAATTATTTGGGTCTAGTATGTATTGTATCTTGTTCCCTAAGTATTAGAAACAGATCGAGTGATCCAGTGAGGGTTTTGGGTGTAAAGGCGCTAGGGTTTGAGAGCAGCTGTTTAGATTTGTACTCCATCGTTGATTATAGTGGACTTCTGCTTCTCCTTCTCCCATGGACGTAGGCAACAAGCCCGAACCACGATAAATCTCTATGTTCTTTGAGTGCTCTGCTTTTGCGTTTTCTATTTCTCTGTTTTCCAATCGTTTTTCAGATCTTGGGTTTGCCATTCCGCAACAATACAAATAAAGGCAAATTTCTTAAACTACCCCCATGGTTATCTAATTGACTAAGTCTACCCTTACAGTTTAACTATTGTCTTGCACCACCCCTATTGTTTCTGACAATTGCCTAAAACCTCCCTTACCGTTAACGTTCCGTCATAAACCATTCACATGTGACATCACATGACTGTTATATTTTTTAAAAATCCCTAACTTACCCTTTTATGGTCAAAAATCCCCTTTCAGTTTGGGCAAGATGATTCTCCTCTTTCTATCTCTTCCTTTTTTTTTATTTATTCTGTGACTGTTTTTATCTTCCACTGTGAAACTGCCACTCCCTCTCTCTATTCTTCCATCTCTCTCTCCCCCCTTTCTTCCATTGTTTGATTTTTCTTTTCCCCTTCGTTATCTCCCTCTTTCCCTTCCCCTGTTTCAATCGCTGCCACTTGCGGCAGCAGAGTGTCACTCTTAACACACAGTAGCAGCAACAACCGGGAAGGATCAGCAACATCACCAATATCTACTTCGGTAGATCGTTCTCTCTCATTTCATTACTCTTCACTCTACATCACTCTCTCTACCTCTCTACATCATTCCCAACTGCACCAGGCTCATCTTCCACCAGCAGGTTTAAACCCAACTGGTCAGCCATTTTCTTTTTCACATTTTTTATGAATGATTTTCTTTTTCGCATCTTCCTCCTACATTTTCATCATCCCTCTCCACTTCCTCATCCTTCCCAGTTGCCATTTCCAGCATCTCCAATCAAGTACCAATCATCCATTTTATCCCTTTGGTTGTCGGCTGAGCAGAATTGGACGTGCTAGAGCCTCCCTATTACAGCATCACACAGTCGGTCAGAATATAACTCAGGTAAGTTCCATTGTTGCCTAGTTTCGCTTTTTTTTTTTTTCTTTCATTTGTTTTTCTTAGCTTAGCTTCTCCACATCATTGTTGTGATTGGGATTTGAGGTTGGGGAAGAAAACTGATGGGTGTGGTTCTGTCAAACCGAATCCTGTAGGCTTTTGATCCCAGCCCAATCCATCTATTGCTTCCCATTAGGTTTCAATAGCATGTAAATTTAACTCATATCTGTTAGTCTCAAAAGATTGGATCATTGTCGACTCTGTTTTTCTTCCCAAAATCAATTTCATACTCTGATGAATGTTGTTGATAATACTATCTTTAGCTTTCTCCCCAAAACCTATTTCATGCTTGGACACCGCCGGTAATGATGTCTTTATTTTTTCTATAAAATCAATCTTATGCTCGGATGGACATTGCTGGTAGTGCTGCCATTTGTTTAATGTCATTTTAGTCTGCTTCAGATCTGGCTTTTTAGTTTGGTTTCAATTTAGGTGTATTGTTTGAATCTGAATTTTGTATGCCCGTTTTCAGTTTTATTTGAGTTAGATTCAGAAAGTGTTATCAGCTTGTCGGCAAGTGAAATTCATTTCTTGTTTAGTGGTTAGAGGTAGCAAAAATGAATAAATATTACGTTAATGAGAAGAATCAAAAAGAGGAAGGATTCATGAAATTGTTCATCAGTTGGGTTTTATTTTGAAAAATTAATTTGACATTTCATTTTTTCCATTAGCACTTAATGACTATGTCAACAGTAGGGGTACTTTAAGACAATATGTAAACAGTAAGGGTAGAGTTAGTCAATTAGCTAAACCATAAGGGTAGTTTAAGAAATTTGCCCTACAAATAAATAGAGAACAAAATTGTGAACCTCAAGATCTCCCTTCTTACAATAGGATGGAACCTAAATATGCATTCTTGAAGAGGAAGAGGAGCAAAGAAACAGAAACAAAAATACAACCTATTTCAGTTTGCTCATCTTCATCAATACATAAGACTAATTCTCCTAAACCCAGAAATACTGCTAACCTATATAAAGGCAGTGATGGAAAATGACAATGGTAGTTGGTCCTTGCAAGTTGGACAAACATTAGAAGCTGGAGCCAGAATGAAACTTAGGTTCCTAAGGCAAACCAGAAGGTAGGGTATTCTAGTATTGCAACCAAACATTACTAGAGAATGCACATGAATTACAAACACCAATTGGATACAAGTCATATCGGACACTCCAACCACATAATCCCACATAGAACGGAGGAAGCAAGCAACAAAGTAAATATTTCTTCCTTATTTCTCGAGAAAACAACCCTCATTAATTTCCCATACAAGGCATAGAAATAGACCAGAAAGTTAGCAAATTAAAAAAAAAAAAAAAAAAAAATCAGTCTTCAGAAGGCTGAAGAGGCAAAACTGAAAAAACAAAACGAAAACACACCGAAAATTACAGAGTTCAAAATCTTGCCAAAGAGAGCTCAAATTAAAGGACCAGTTAAAGGGTTTCAGAAGATTTCTCAAACACATACGAGAGAGAGAGAGAGTCGTTTCTTTTACCTGAGAATGATCAAAAGGTCGAGGAAAAGCAAACCAGGCGACTGTTGCTACATTCGTTTCGTTTCCTGGCAGATTCTATTCATCCCTGGAATTTTTAGAGAAAAAAATGGGGAGAGGAGAGGCAGATCCTCCGTTTCTCGATTCTCATGAAGGGAAAAGAGAATGGAGTCTGCTGAAGAACGAGAGAGATCGAGAAATGGCGAAGACTTGAAAACAGGGGAAGATCCGACTTCCAGTCTTCCATTACTTAGCGCACGTGTTCTTGGCACGTGCTGTATGTACACCTTGTCATGTGATTCACATCATTCATGGATTCACAATAACAAATTCTGAGAAGTCCGGATCTGGACTATGGACAGGTGTCATACAACAATATCTTATGCAGATTATTCTGCAATTGTACGTATAATTAGGCATGACTCCCGTACTCAGTACGGAGCCACTAATATGAACTATTTTAAATTTTTAACTTTTTTAAATTATTTATATTAAAATTTTAAGTTAGGTTTTTTTTGTAGTTTTGATAGATTTTTATATGATTTTAGAGACCATATTTTATCTAGTATGTGATCCCATTATGGGGCAGTCACACATATGTATCATTTTGGTTTTTTACTTTTTTTTGTTTTTTATAATAATATTATTTTATTTATTGTTTTAGAAGATTTTATTTGAGTTTCACTATTTGTCTAATAATTATATTTATATTTGAAATTCAAATAAAACTAACTATTGGAATTGTAGACTATAGACTTAAAGTGGTTGTGAATAACTACTTTTACATTTCCTGCATTTTTTTAGGAATGGATGAGAATGGGAGTTTCCCACTTCTCATGTATTTCTAAAAAACTATTATTGAATGTATGACACCTATTTTAGAGTACCACATGTCCGAGTTCAAAATTTTAAATGTGGTTAAAAGCAATTTATGTATATAAGGAGTGGGTTTCTCTTTGAAAATGCGAACAATCAACTTCTGAGATACTTTTTCTAGGAAGTTGGGTTTGCCACGTGTATAAATGTGGGGGCTATGGCATGAAGACCTTCCTTTATATATATATATATATATATTAGATATCGGAACTCAAACACAATGGACTGCTAGGCTGTGTTTGGTTTGAAGGAAAAAGTAGGGAAAGGAAGGGAAATGGGTGGGTTGGATTGGATTGGGTAAGGGTTGAATATCAACCCACCCATATTGACCCACCAACCCATCATGACCCATAATCAATCTTAGTTAAAGGATCATAACCCACCCTGACTCACCCATATTGGCCCACTTGACTCATCCATATTGACCTTTAACCACCCACACCCATATTAACCCACCTACCCTCACTTATAAATACAAAAAGAGTTTGGACGACCCGTATACGCAAAATAATAAATTTTGAGAGAATAATCTCTCTCAAGACTGCCACGTGATGAAAATGAGTCAGGTAAACCCGTATACCCGAAAATGCAAAAATTGTAGATAAATACAAAAAAGTTGAAGAAAATTTGCAGAAAATGCAAAAAATAAACCAAAAAATTGTAGAAAATTACGAATAATACTAAAAAAATATAGAAAATTCAGAACTTTTGCATAAAAGATCAGAAAACATGCAAAAAAACACCAAAAATTTATAGGAAATGCATGAAAACACAAAAAAATGCAAAAAAGTACCAAAAAATTATAGAATATGCAGAAAAATACCAGAAAATTTTAGAAAATATAGAAAATACCAAAAAAATTGCAAAAATGCAAAAAACAAAAAAAAATATAAAAATGCAGAAAATAACAGGAAAATTGCAGAAATACAAAAAAAATGCATAACTTTTATAAAAGTGCTTTCGCAAAAGTACTTTTATGAAAGTACTTCTACAAAAGTAGTTCTATAAAAGTGCTTTGATAAAATTACTTTCATAAAAGCACTTTTATAAAAGTGCTTTTATGAATTTATAAAAGTGCTTTCATAAAAGTACTTTTATAAAAGTGCTTTTGTGTAAAAGTACTTTAGTAAAAGTACTTTTATGCTTTCATAAAAGTGTTTTCATAAAAGTACTTTAATAAAAGTGATTTAATGTAAAAGTACTTTCGTAAAAGTGCTTTTGTGTAAAAGTACTTTCATAAAAGTGTTTTCGTAAAAGTACTTTAATAAAAGTGCTTTCATGTAAAAGTACTTTTGTAAAAGTGCTTTCATAAAAGTACATTTATAAAAGTGCTTTATGCTTTCATAAAAGTGTTTTCGTAAAAGTACTTTAATAAAAGTGCTTTAATGCAAAAGTACTTTTACAAAAGTACTTTCATGTAGAAGTGCTTTCATAAAAGTATTTTCATAAAAGTACTTTAATAAAAGTGTTTTCATGTAAAAGTGCTTTCATAAAAGTACATTTATAAAAGTGCTTTATGCTTTCATAAAAGTGTTTTAGTAAAAGTACTTTTATAAAGTGTTTTTGTAAACACGAAAGTTAATAAAATCCATTTTATTTCACTTTTATTGTCAAAATCAAATGTGGCATAGTGGTTTGGAAGTGTAATGAGATGTTGGTGCAATAGGAGGCTTGAGTTTGAATCACTACAACTTCTAGTTTTTGTGATTTGGCGAGTATAAGTAAAGTTGACTTTGACCCAACCCATCTTGACCCGCATGACCCAACCCATCCTGACCCTATGAGTACCCTCGACCCAACCCACCTTAACCCTTTTCCATTGACCCTAATGGGTTGCTCGACCCATATTGACCCACCAATAGATTGAGTGGGTATGGGTGGGTCAAATGGGTTGGGGTCAAGATTGCCAGCCCTAGGTAAGATAGCCTTTACAAATCTTGTATAGGTGTTCCTACCTTTCCCTTCCTTTCCTTACCTTTTCTTTCAAACCAAACATAGCCCTAGGGAACAGGGATTCTGCTACACCACGGTGATAGCAATTTCTCCCCACACTAGGAGCACAACATCCAACCGTACATCAAGAATATCTCTCTATGAATTTAGCAAATCTCAAGGTGTGGATGGATCCGATGTTGTCTGGATGTTGTTGAGCTAATTGCTAAGCTCAAGCTTGACTAAAAAACACCAAGCTTGAAATTTGATTCAAGCTCAATCGAGTTTCATATATTTCGCTCAAATAGGATTCAAGTCAATTATAAATAAATTAATATTATAAATACTATAAATAAAATATATTATGGAAACCAATTATAAATATATTTATTTATATTATAAATAAGTTAATGTTAAAAAAAAACTAATGTTTATTTATATTACAAATCCAAATATATTAAAAAATAGTATTTGATTATGAATTCAATTAGGCTTGTGAACCACTTAAGCTAGATACTATGAAGCTCGAACTTGACTTGACCAACTACTCGATTCGAACTCAATTACTACGACCTGAGTTTGAGTATTTAGCAAGTTGAGCCCAAGTAGCTCGCAAGTAAGCTCGACTTACTTACACCCCCACTCACACTTTTTGCTTTCAAGAGATCTAAGCTTGCAATTTCTTGTGATCATCAATAAGTCCATATTAATCGCCAATAAAAATGTGCTAACTCAATGATAGTACACTAATCCAATCACACTTTCGATATATCTCCCATACTTGTATGCTATCATTCATGGTAAATGTTCTAAATGCACGACTGGATTCTCATGCTATTGGTGTAACAACACACTTTTTGATGGCAGTAGATCCTCACACGATGCCAGAAAAACATGATACCAAAAAAAAATCTCTCATATAGGCAAGTGGCTAAATCGAATTACTCATTGTTTTGTATATTAAAGTATTTAGGGATATGATCAAGGTTCAAAGCATCAAGCAAAATCTCTCATTGATGGTAGGGGAGGATCAAATTTCTTTGCAAGGGTATAAGGGTTTGAGAGGAGGGCTACGCTCATGTGTGAGCCATTTTTACTTTTGTAGTTTTAATGATAATAATAATAATAATAATAATAATAATAATAATAATAATAATAATAATAATAATAATAATAATAATAATAATGCACTACTACTTTCAACTAATTTTTATTAGTTTTCTTAAATTTTATTACTTTTTATTAACAAATATAATTTTATTAACTATGTTATTCATTAGTTAATTAATTACTTATATAAATTAGTTATTAAGGGAGATCAAATCTCTCATTCAATTGGGTTTGGACTTTGGAGGTGTATAAAGGTTTGGGGGAGGTCTACCCCTCATGTATCAGCCATTTGCCTATTTCCTATCAAAAAGGAGTATCAAAGAAGTAATTTTAAGATATTGATACACTTTTGGGTATACTTGAATTGGATGAAACTGCTATAAGAAGTGCATAAATCTCACAAATGTATTTATAACACTAGATCTATTGTTCAAATGATTATGAATAAGTTATTAACACTAAGGAAAACAATATTTAGTAGTTTATGTGACTATAAGCAATACAATGTAAATACACTTAAAAAATATTGGAAAGTAAAAGAAAAAAATATGTGAATATACAATACTAATTTTGAAGTTCATAATTAAAATTAAAATTCATCCTATTTTGACATAATTTTTGGTAGACAAATAGGCTACACAACAAAGGTAGCCCTCCCCCAAATCCCAAGACCCTTAACCTAGGTGAAGATAGGACTATAACTAGCTAGAGATTTTACTAGCTAGTTAGCTAGCTAGCACCTTAAATTTATGTTATTTTAATTAGGAGTGCAAGTAGAGGTGTAAAGTGGGTCGTGTTGGACTGGCACGGCACGACCTGCAGGCAACCCGCGCAAAGTGCGGGACGTGCCGTGTCATGCTGGCCTGCGGGCCATCACGGGCCGTGCTGCCCTCACCAGTGAAAATTTGGGTGGTCAGCCTAGCATGGCCCATGGCCCAAGCCCGTGCATGCAGGTCTGTGTCGTGCTGCAAGCTTGGACCGAGCCGAGTTGCAGGTCGTGTCGTGGGTCATTTTGGGCTGGGCCACAGGGCAGGCCTTGGGCCTGGGCCGAACTAGGCTAGACTAAATGGATTATGATTACCCAATAAATAAATAAATAAAACAATTCAAATAGGAATTTTATTTCATTTAAATTTGAATGATACAAATTACAAAGCATGCAAATGTTGAAATATACAATGGTTGGATACTTCATACTTCGATGAATGAAATATGAAAATGGAATAAATTAATAAAATATAAAAAATACATTATAGTTACAAATTGAAAATACAAAATTACATTAATAGCAAATAGATTAAA